GGTCATTTGCTCAGATATCTTGGTTATATTATTGAATATTTTGACTTTTTGTCTTATTTGTCAGATTACTTGTGTAATTGCCTGTCTTGTTTATCCATATGCAATAAGAAGATCCCTCCCTGGGTAGTCAATAAATGATCCAAAGCCAGCTGATTACCAGCTGCCATGGCCACCAGAGAGCACTGTCCTTCATTTAAAGTAGCCAAAGCACTGGCTATTTGTTGCATGTGTTTAGAAAGTATCTTAGATACTTCCTGGGTGGCATTGATAATGTGAGTTTGTGAGGTGGTGGTGTCTGTGCCCAAGGTAATACCTGTGACTCCCAAAATCCTGAGCAAAGTGAGTGCGATTGGTAGGAAAACAGCATGTTGGTGTTGAGAGAGACCAAAGAAAGTTCTGTTGCACAAAATAAAATATTGACATAAAACATAGACAGAGTACAGGTGATGTAAGGAGGAAGGCCTGAGAGTGGGATATGAGTGGATATAAGAGTGGGGTACTATAACAATGAAACCAAAAGCCAAACAGGAGTGACTGTTTTCACAGAAATGTCTTGTATGGGGAGGTGCCAGTAAGCCTGATGATCAGGACGAAGTAATGGGCCCTAAAGGCCAGCAGTTGAGCATAACTAAGGTTGCTGATGGCAGTGAGACTCATTTAGAAGACTGTGTATTATTCTGTAATTTCAGCAAGGTTTCTTTCAGTAAGTCATTATGGCACTCTATGAGGCCTGCAGCCTGAGGCTGGTAAGGTGGGGAGGAGGAGCTGAGGGGAGTTTCATCAAATGCCTTGTTCAAGACCCCAGCATTGTGTATTTTAAGAAGTGAAATAAGTGGCTAGGTCACTATCAATAATGTCTGGAACTCCAAAGGTAATAAGAAGTGTCTTGTTCAGGCCTCGTATTATGGCTTCACTGGTGACATGTCTAGAAGGATAGGTGAGTAATATTCCCTTATAAGTATCTACCATGGTCAGAGAATAGTAAGTATCCTTTCTAGAAGGAATCAGTGACCCCATAAAATCTATTTGCCATTGGCTAAGGGACAGCCTTCAGGGAACTGAGCCTCATCAATTATTTACAGTGGCACCTTTTCTCACAAAAGTTGCATTGGTTAGTCACTATGTTATCCATGGCAGAGAACAGGGGGAGTCCCTTTCATTCTTCTTAGGCCTTTAGAACAGAGGCCTCTCTATGGTTTGATATTTCCTCGGCCCACCAGGCCAAGGTTACTGGCATCCATCTGAGGTTGTGCCGGTGTGTATCCCAGAATCCAAGCCAATTTATTAGCTTTCACATTGCAATAAGCCTCTGAAAAATGAATTTTCATATGTGGAGAACACACGTGACCTTGATTTGTATTTTGAGTATCTGCGAGGCAAGAAATTCCCAGAGTTCTTTACCCCAACAGAGGGGCAGGAACACCTTGGATAAGGAATTGTTGTTGCCACTGGGCAGACCAGATGACTATACCCTTTGCTACAGCCCAAGAGTCTATAAAAATGTGCAGAAGGGGCCAAATGTTGGCCAAGACATCCTCTAGTGCTAAAGTGACTGTCCTCACCCTTGAGTCTCATCCTTGATTAGGGATGTCCCAGTTAGGAAATGCAATGCAGCAGCTCTTCAGTGGCCCCATCATGTATGATGGTGGTACTGACATCTATAAAGTACAAATTCCCTTTCCTGATCACTTAGTTGATCCAAAGGGGCTCCCCAGGTGGCCAATGGATATGGGAGAGGGTGACCTCTTCAGCCACCATTGCATCTAGCAAAGGACTAAGGACATGGAAACCACTTCTTCCTGTAGATAGGATATGCCAGAGGGCCCAGGGTACACTCTGTAAGTTCATTTTAATAATGAGGTGTCTGTGGCTAAGCCAGATTTGCGGGGTGCTGCCTCAATGATCCAAGGCATAATGGACAACTGGGTGCAGAGAGTCACAGACTCAGGACTTGTGATAGCATTTATCTCAAGAAGGGCCCAGTATGCAGCCAACAGTCGCCATCCTAATAGTGTGTGGGGTGCAGCCAGGGAAGATAGTTTCTTGCATCAGAAACCCATGAACAGTTTACGGCCATAATGGCTGATCCAGAAGGATTAAGAGGATGTTGTTGAAGCCTCTACAGTGAAGGAGTCTCTGGGTGGAACACTAATGTGAGTACCTGTTTTATTGCAATTTTGACAGATTCTAGAGCCTTTTGTTGTTGGATGGCCCATTCAAACTGAGTAACAGCATAACGGACTTAAATAAAATTTGCAAATGAGGAAGACGTTACCTCTGAAACCCAAAGATCACAGTAAATGCTGAGTCTACTTTAAAGCAGGAAGTGCTGATGAAAGTGAGAGTTGGTTACTTACTGCATCAAGTGTGAATCATTCCTGGGCTGATGAATAATGTTTTTACTGAAATTTTACTGAAGTAGCAGGGCCTTGGTTTTTATAGGATGCAAAGGCCCAACCCTGATTGGAAAATTCTGTGACAGGTGTTTATATATCGAATGTGAGTGCATTCTTTGAATTTCCACGCAGGAGGATGTTCTCAATATGATGTCATATCTGTGTTCCTAGAATAAGTTGGATGTGGTTAAGATCTTGCCTGCAAAGTTACGTGCATTGGCAGGCTGTTGAAATATCCCATGGAGAGGCAAGTAAAAATGTATTGTTCATTCAAAGATGAAGGCAAATTGCTTCTGAGAGGCTGTAGAACTATGCATGGAATAGGACACATTAGCCAAATCCATAACAGCAAAATATTTTCCAGTTGCTGATTAGATGGAGTATTAATTTCAGTAATAATACAAATGCAGATCTTACTGGAGGATATCATGGCATTAAGGTTGTGGTAAGCCACTGTGAAGTGACATTCATTTATATCAGTTTTGAGCACTGGCCAAATTGAGTTATTAAAGGAAGAAATAACAGGAACAATGACTAGGCCAGGCATACCAATCCTCAGAGGTCTCACTATATTGCTCTCAACTTTGCAAACCTCATGGCTGGGGCAGATTCTCTCAAGGAACGCTTGTCGTGGTCTCTCTGGAACCTTCTCTCCTCAGCCGTATGTTTACAACTTGTTCTCAAAGTTGTCAACAACTAAGGTTTATTTGTATCTTTTGAACTTGGGTCCACAGGGCGTCTTTAGCTTCTTCAGGAAATTGATCCCCATGTGCCTTCTCTAAAAAGAGCAGATATAACCTGTGTCACTCTGGCTAACATAGAAACTGCAAAGAAGCCCATACCCCGCCTTCTAAGGACTTCACAACAATCTCTCTTAGAACAGAAATATTAAGGAAATTTTAGTCTATTAAATTCCTGTCTTCTAATTGTATCATTTCTGGAGGCGAGGTAGGGGGTGGCCAGGGAGGTTGTTTGTTTCTTTGTTTTTGTTTTTTATTACACATGTGAAGGACTATGTCTCTCAGGAACTACGGTTTGATTCCAGATTGGATTCATAGAATGGAAGGTAATACACTTCCTTCCTAGTTAAGCCCCACAAACTTGGATACTTCCATTAAGAGGAGGGAGGAACGTGAATGGGAGCCAATAGAAAATATGCTGCATTTTATACTACTTGGAGACTCACATGGCACATCTCATCTTTGATTCACCTCTTAGGAACAAGGTAAACAGCCCACTGCAGTCATTCAGATTGTTGATTGTGTGAGCACTGTATGTTTTTAAAGTCACTGATGTTATTATTCTATAAATGTGGATCGTGAAATCAATCAATTGTGAAAATCTGGAGGAAATGCAGACCACAGGTTAGTACAAACAGGGAAGGGAGGGCTGTAGTGGATCCAGCACCTGCTGCATCCAAAAGCTGTATGGAATAATGGAGAGATTGACAAGAATGATTGTGAGGATATGATTTTTCTAACCATATGCATTTGAATGAGAGGAGCCCTTTGTATTGTTTTTGCCTCTTCGTGAGAAAATTTAAGGATGCACACAGGATACCACCACCATCCATCTTTCCTTGGGGAATATCAACTTATCTGTAAAAGACTTTTATTGTTAGAGACATGGATGTCATCCTTCCTGGTTTGTGTATGGCAAGAATAGAGGATCAGAAAGTTTGAGGCATGATAAAATGTCATCTTGAGTTTCCCACTGAGGAATCTTTAAGACTTTGAGCAAAATCCACTCTGAGATGCCGCATGTGGATCTCTCAAGATCTCTATTCTCAAAGATGTATCCCAAATCAGTGCCTAGGAGACTGTGAATGTGGCAGAGAAACATATAAGAAAATGCTAATTAATATGATTTATTCATGCCTAAGCCTTGTTCATTTAGACAAAAAAACTCACAATATACATACAGTGAGATAGGACTGAACGAAAGATCTTCAAGTCCTAAAGGCCTATTTCAAATCCATCCTAAAAATGAAGTGAGGGTGCAGAAAAAAAAATTATGCATCAAGAACTTCAGCATCATCTGTGTGGGGAAATTCCTATTGGTTTCTGAAATAAAGAAATCAGAAATTTGGACAGGAATGAAGATGAAGGTCTATGGTATATAGCCAGTGAAGCATCAATTAGAACAGGGAGGAGAAAGAAGCACAGAAAGGGAAAAGGGCCCAAGGAAGGGAAAGGAAAGCACAGAAAACAGAATCAGCTAGAGATATTTCTACCAATAGCACAGAAGCAGAAGAGTTTAAGAGAGTCAGGAAAGTGACTTAAATGTGGAGATTTCATAAACATTTTGGGAGGAAAGGATAGGTTCAAAAACATATTCCTCTGAAAAAATTCTGAGTAATTATTCTCTAATAGATTCTGTCAAGTGTCCCGGAATAGATTGATTTGAGGAATTACAAAGGCTTTAAGAATAAGGTCACTTACATGGAAGATATAGGGCTTCCATGGAAACGAGTCCAGTCCAATGGGACATTGGTTTGGGCCAAAGGCATGGAGAGTAATATATGACCTGATCCTGTTGATTACAATCAGCTTTATGTCTCCCACCCTGACAAACTTTGGTTTTCCTCATTCTCACCTTTTCCCTTTAGATCTACTAAAGGTCAACAATGAAAAACAGGACCACGTTTACTGAGTTCATTCTGTTGGGCCTCACAAACCAACCTGAAGTCCAGGTTGTGATGTTCATCTTTCTGTTCCTCACCTACATGCTAAGTGTCCTAGGAAATCTGACCATCATCATACTCACTCTAGTAGACCCCCACCTCCAGACCCCCATGTACTTCTTCCTCCGGAATTTCTCCTTCTTAGAAATTTCCTTCACGTCCATTTTTATTCCCAGATTTCTGACCAGCATGACAACAGGAAATAAAGCCATCAGCTTTGCTAGATGCTTGACCCAGTATTTTTTTGCTATATTTCTTGGAGCAACAGAGTTTTACCTCCTGGCTTCTATGTCCTATGACCGCTATGTGGCAATCTGCAAACCTCTGCATTACCTGACCATCATGAGCAGCAGAGTCTGCCTACAACTCGTGTTCTGCTCCTGGCTGGGGGGATTCCTAGCTATCTTCCCCCCAATCATCCTGATGAGCAAGGTGAGTTTCTGTGCGTCCAATGTGCTGAATCACTATTACTGTGACTATGGGCCCCTCCTGGATCTTGCCTGCTCAGACACAAGCCTCTTAGAATTGATGGTCATCTTCTTGGCAGTTGTGACTCTAGTGGTTACTCTGGTGCTGGTGACACTTTCTTATACATATATTATTAGGACCATTCTGAGGATCCCTTCTGCCCAGCAAAGGACAAAGGCTTTTTCCACTTGTTCCTCACACATGATTGTCATTTCCCTGTCTTATGGCAGCTGCATGTTTATGTACATTAATCCTTCTGCAAAAGAAGAAGGTGCTTTCAACAAAGGAATAGCTGTGCTCATTACTTCAATTACTCCTTTATTAAACCCCTTCATTTACACTCTAAGAAATCAGCAAGTGAAGCGAGCATTAAAAGACACCATCAAAAAGATAGTGAAGATTTAAAAACAGAATACATTTCAATGAAAATATATTTCACTTAATAAATATGTATTGAGTGTCTACTATTTTTCAGTGGCTGAACTGGCCCTTTAGGATAAAAATATGAAAGGCATGTGTCCTAATGTCTAGGAATCTACAGTCAAGTGCAATGAAAAAGTGTATAGACTACAAATTTGTGTTATAAGTTTACAAAAATAAAATAACATGATAAATGTTATTAGAAAAAGATGAATGAGAATCCATAAAAAGAACAGTTGGAAAGAGTTAACTGTGTTCTGGAAATGATTTGAAATTTCAGAGGCAAAACACATTGCTTATATAGGAGACTAGGAAGGTAAGAATTTGGAGTGAGGAAGAGAGGCCAGATCATATTTAATTACAAATATGGAGTTAGTTGGACATTGGTGAGTCAAGTGAAGTTTTAAGAAAGGAAGTGATATTACCAGCATTGTTTTGAAGGAACTCTAGCATTGGGATTTTTCTTCATCATGGAGCCTGAGACTGTGCTTCTTTCAGTTTCAATAATTTTATTCTCCTTCATTTTTCATTTATGTTTCAACAGTAGCCATCCTTCCATAAAGGAGCAATATTAAAAAGGATATACAGTGGTCTACTTTTCTCCAACTGGGGCAAAGAGTCTCAACATTTTGTCAACTTATATGTCCATTTTCAGAAGCTAGGCTTAGAAGAGGTTTCTAGAGGCAAGGTTAGAAGTCTCTCAATCCCCCTACAGGATCTATTGTTGCTTTTCACTGCTGACATCTTTTTAAGCTAGTGGCTGAGATCTCCTACTTTCTCTCTTGGGTACTTTCTGGTGATTTTTTTTCTATTGTGATTTTATTTTCATCTTTTTGTTTCCTTTTGTTAGATATTAGAAGGACAGATTCTGTGATACGGCTCCATTCTTTTGACATTTCTCTGAAGTTTTGCTTTTGTTTTTAACATAAGCCATGGATGTCTGTTTCATAAAGTGAAAAAGAATATAAAATATCAATAAAGTTTTATATCTAAAATGTTCTAAATAATGATTCGTAGCAATCAACTGGGAATAGACTACCACACCAAGAACTCCACACATGGATTCAAGGTAACAAAAACTGGAATATGAATAGGTAGTGGTAGGGCCTCAACTTCAATGGAATTAAGGGCATTTTGGAAATCTGAGTACTTGCACGTAGCTTAGTTATATCCTAAAGCATTGTAGAATGGTGTTTACTGTTTGGGGTACAAGTGGAACATCATCTGGTGTATTCACATGCTTTACATGTGGTAATAACATTGAGCGCAGTGATGCTACTTAGGCATCTAAGGAACAAGCTGTATTGGATTGATCATGAGAAAAAATATCCAGAACTACAGAAAATATTGAAGAGTGTACAATATTTTTAATAAAAGGTCTTTTATGTAAAGCCATCGCTATTTTGAATATCTGGGTTTCTTTGGTGGCTAATGTAGAGATTAGTGATGACTTTCAATTTATTCCAAATTCATTGACTACCTATTAATTGATAGAGAAATGTTCTTAAACAGCCACATCTGAATCATTAAGTTCCCCCAAATCCACATTTCTACCAAAACCTATGGTGAAGTGGAAGACAATGCCATACAGTGGTTAAAAATATAGGCTTTAGTTCAAACCCCAGATTCAGAACCTTCTACCAGAGTCTCCTTGGGATAGTTACTGACCTCTCTAAGGCTTACTTTTCTCAACTCTAAAATGTGGGTAACAATAGTGTCTATCTTATAGGATAGTTTCGAGCATTAAATGAGTTAGTAGGTGTAAAATATTTAAAAAGCCATTACTTATTAAGTGTTTAATAAATGATATCCATTATAACTGTATGATAATGGTAGACAATATCTTTTTCAAAAAACTGGTGCTTAACTCTTCAGACTAGGTACTAAATTGACTGTTGTGATATAATTGGGACTGTAAAAATGTTGGATATTCTACTTCAAATCCCTTTGCAGCAAGAACTGCTTATTTCCATTCCTCTTATGTCCAGCTGCATCCTTGGATAGCTATATCTGGGAAGGTCTTACCCAGGCTTCAGATAAAGCCAATCAGAACACTTGGTAGCAGATTGTTAGGACTGGGCTACCACCAACTCCATGCAACTTGGATATCTCTGAGTATGTTACGATCAAGAAGAAGACTACTTGGTGTAAATCAAAGTTCAGGAACACTAGCCCAGGCTTGACTCAGCTTTCATAACATAAGCATTTAGAAATGAATTTGGGAAGGAATATATCGACTTCTAAATGACCTTTTGAAAAACAGGATGTCATGCTCTTCTGAAACTGTTCTTCTAAGCTGGTTTTATGTTAATACATACTAGGAACACACTCCAAGTCATAGGTAAGCAAAGGAATGAGTTTACGATTCTGCAGCCGAGCTCTTGGAATGTTCAGTGTCTAAATGTATAAGTCGGTGGGATTTATCTGACCTGTCACCACTGCAGACCAGAATCAAAAGAAATAGCTTTACCTGCCTAGTATTCTCAAGATAATATCAAGGCAGTGCTAGGGTGAGGAGATAAGAAAACAACTGAAGGCTGATCTGTCACTCTTGGGCATTCGTTCTTCTATCCTCTCTCCCTAAACCCCCAGAGGTTGTGGACTTACAGACTACAAATCTGAACAGACAGTTCTCTCCCAATGCTATTTTTTACAAAGAGTTTAAAATAAAATTCAAAAAAAAAAGAGATTTTTTTAAGAAGCCAAATAAGGTAAGAACAGTTCTATAATGACTTGGGCTCTCTGGCCTGAGGATCATCTTTGTCATTTCTTTTAATTCATTCAAAAGGTCACAAACCAAGGCTTAAGCTTCTGACCGTAGATATCACTAGACAGTATAGTTGAAGCTCTATAGAGGTCATGAGTTCAGAAACCAAAATAACCGCCCATCTGAGGAATATACCCACTGCGGAGGCAGGGAGGACCAGATTACACACCAGACAACATATGATACAAAGAAGAATTATCGTAACAGAAACATCAAGAATTTAAAATAAATATAATTTCCTCAAAAATATAAAAATGATACTGGTAAGACAAAGGAAAAAAAATAATAAAAATAACTAAGTGAAAAATAGTGCTGAAAAACATAATAAATGAAATAAAGAACAAAACAGATGAGGCTAATACCAGGAGAGATAGAACCAAAACAAAAATAGTGATAAACTCTCTGAGATTAGAGATCTGATAAGCTCTCCCATAAAGCAACAGAAGACAATAAAGAAATTCAATAGATAACAGAAAACAATAAAGAGATTAGATACGTAGGTAGACAGGAGAGGTAGGTAGACACAGGAGCAGATGCCAAATTTAACCCAGATAATAAGAGTTACAAGTGAAGAGTAGGAAAGAAAAAAGAAGGAAATAATAACAGTTTCTTTAATAAAGATGGATATCTCTGAGTATGTTGAGATGGGGTATATAAGGAAAATAGATACCTTAAGAAATCAGACATTTAAATATGATGTTAAAAGAATACCTCAGAAGGTTTGTCATACAGAGGTCAAATCTGAAAACACTTTTAGAGGAAATACTCAAATAAGAGGATAAATAAACTCAGAAGAATGATGCAAATAATATGAAACATAAACATGATAATATAATTTATATTAATCATATAAAATATAATTTTATCTTTTTAAAAGGTAAGACTCAAAGAAGGATAAAGTCTGTATCCATAACCAGAACTAAAATTCTAGAAAACAAATACATGGTGGGGTTGTGAAGACAGTCCAAATTAACATACAAAAAATAATAATAATAATATATTTGTTGGGATCGAAGAAAGAAGTAAAGGTATAAGTTTAAGAAATCAATAAATAAAAATGGACAAAAATGAATCTTAAGTTAAGGTATCCATCCTGAAAATATAATAGAATTTACGACTTTTAAATCAACAAAATAAAAAGTGTTCATCTAATGAAAGATAGAAAAAGATAAAGTAAAAACAAGTAGAATACATGGAATATATAGAATAAGATGGCAGAAATCAGTCCTACTACGATAGTAATTATAAAAAGAATGTATCAGTAAATCCCATAACAAAAGAGACAATGATCTTCAAATTGGATTAAAAATAAAAATAAGTAAATCTAGCAATGTGTTGTATATAAGAGACACACTTAAAGCAGTAGGATATTAAAAGGTTGGAAATAAAAGGAATGTGTGACACCATCAACATGGCGGAAGAGGTTTTCTACCATCTTCCCCTCAACGAATACCAATTTTGACAACCACTCATTGACAAGACTGCCTTTGTGGAAATCTGAGAGTCCGGTGGAGAAATTCCAGCAGACCATTGGAGGAAAAAAAAAATCTGAGATTGAGTGTTTGAAGAGGATATTGAGTGTTTGAAGAGGCTAAGAGGAACAGTTTCACTTTGCCCATATCATCCTTCCTGCAAGGTAGCACAGCTCAGTGCCAAGAGAGATCTTCTAGGCCCATGATTTCTCACATAGGGGAAAGAGAGAGTGCATGAGGGAGCACCCAGCTTCCCCAGCTGTGCAGGAACTGCCAAGGAGGTACATTTCTTTCTTGCCCCATCCAGAAATCTGAGCTGCAAACTGCATGATTGGGGGGCAGCGAGCAGCCAGGAGAGCAGCAGCCAGGGCACAGAGGCAATATACCAAAGGGAGGTGGATCCTGCTAACCACTACGAGGACTCCATCAGGATGCCCACCCAAGAGTGTTTGGGATTCCTGACATGCAGGTTCCCCCAACTTATCCACTGGAACCCCAATGTTCCACAAGCCTCAACTACACAACCTCCCACCCTGTGGCTAGCTCCCTGTGCACTCCCGGGACAGTGGTGAGAGTGAGCCTTTGCAGATGGCTCGTCAGCATGTGCACAAAGCTGGCCTGACTCTATGGGACCGGGAGAAAGCACACAAACTTAAACATTCTGGCTTTCATTCTTTCTACCAAGAAGTGTGCTGTCCTTTTTACATTTTCTTCTTTTTATGTGATAAAATTTTTAAAACTCTCAATGAAGCAAGTATAAGGGGAATATACCTCCACAGAATAAAGGTCATACATGACAAGCCCACAGCTGACATTATACTCAGCAGTGAAA